GTTTGTAGCTCTTGACAATGGAAAGAAAGCTACATTTGAATGCCACGTGAAACCTCCTGTTATAGGGTAAGCATAGTTGTATCCTCTTCATTTTAATGTATAACTATACTCAACAAAAATTTTAGTTGTACTCAATAGTTTCTGTACAGTAAATTTAGAAAATAAAGTCAGACGGGAAAAAGTATATAAAATTAAAAATGCATGATTATCAACAGTGATGAAATGGAAGAGAATAGGAATCGTTCTGAATTTTCTTTTTTAGGCACCAAATAAAAATATGGCTAAAAACTTCAAACAAATATATCAATGATCTTCTTAGAAAATATATAATGTTCATCTTTGTTATCAAGTTAAAATATATATTCCACATTAAACTTTAGATTAGGTGTTATTTTTATATATTTTCTAAGAAGATCAGATTTTATTTCTGTATTTCTTTATCATTTTATTACCTTAAAACCTACAAATTTGACTACTTTGAATATTTTATTAGATTTTGTGTCCAAAATTTTGATATAAATACTTTCACCCTTTCACAAATTATTATGTGTAGATAATATATAAAATTGAGATTATGTTTTTGTATGTCCTAGATTATTTGTTAAAAACTTTCCATAGATATGAATTGTCCCACTTCAATTTAATAGGTTTTAAATCTTAAACCATAACAAAACCAAAACTTTTATGAACGATCATTGCCATGGCTTCTGGTATTTTAACAACTTTCTTGTTCGACGCATACACAAAAGACAACACCTAGAGACCTGATTTCCCGAAAACCAGACTTCACCAATAATCATTTGTAGTGAATTTGCAATGATCTTTACTTTCACAATAGGATGCCACTAAATCAAAAGCTTCCCTAATTCCGAAAATCATCCATAAAGAAAGTTTTANATTGCATATTCTTCTCAAACTCAAACAACATGAAACCCCTCAAAGGAGCTTCATCCGCGCTTCTTCTGGGACGCCTTTCTGTGTCGGGAACTAGAAAGGTAATAGAGAGGTTTTCTTTTTATCTTATTATATTTAATAGAACAGGTATATAAGTTTGACTCACTCGAAATTATAATTTATGATCGATGCAGACGATGAATATAACTTCAGAGATCAACCATGTCATCATTACTATACTCGAGAACTCTGGTAATCTATTAACTATTGTCTATTCAAATTTGTAAATTAATAAAGTGATTGGAGCCAAAGATTTTTTCTTTCCATCCTCTGAGGCTTCATATATAAATAGAGACTCATGAGCAAAACCTACTAGACAATACCACACCAAAACCATATAATAAACCCTTGGAGCCTTGAAAGCCCAGTGATGGTATCAAGTTTAAAAAGTTATGCACATGTATTTAAAATATGACCTTACTATTTTAGATGTTCAAATTCATCGGCGGAAAGAACAGTCCTTATCAATGAGCTCGTGGGTAGATGTTGGTGTCCCAAAAATTGAGGTTAATTCTTTTTATTAATTTTTTTTTCTCTTCTAATTATAGTTTTGACTGACTAATAAGATAAAAAAACATACGTATTTGTTTTCTTTCAGGTTGAAATGACTGTCACGCTCTCAGCCGCTGGTCAGAAGATGATTATCCGCTACGAGGTTGACGAATCCCAAAAAACGGTGAACCCGTACCATAAATTTTTACTCATGGCGCCTTTCCTCAACGTCATCGTGACAATGTTTATAGTCACAAGGTGTTGCCGCCGCAGCATATTTGACAACACAAGTGTTAGAAAATCAGTTTCTCTAAAATAAGTTATTGGAACTTACCAGAGCGTTACTGTGGTGTTTTATTATTGGAAATTGTCAAATTTATCAAATACTGAGAACAAAGCGTTTCGTATTATTCGATATGTTACAAAATTAAAAATTCTGCGAAATTTTATGGTTCTTTATCTAAAAATATTAACTTTGTTTTGTCAAGATGTTTTACAAATTTTATAGGGAAGTTATTGACAATGTCCACGTCAAACAGGGTGCCAGATGTTGCATGTTACTTGACTGCTACGAAACATCCATTTTAATAATTTGCCGTTATTCTAAGGAATCGGACCTAGTCAACGATAAACGTGTGCATACAAGAATGCATCGAATATTTTACCAACTAAAGAGGACTAAATTTTCAGTTTTTCGTCTCTTTGAATATAATATTCAATCAAAAGGACTTTGTGTGTACCTATTTTCACGAAAGACTAGTGTATGTTTGGTAAGTTCTAGTTATTAGCAGACATGGGTCTAAAGCCCAAGACCAAAGCAAGCCCACGAAACAGAGAAACAGAGCAACTGTAACTTGCTTCACGAACAAGACAAAAGAGAGTACAAACTCAGCAATTAAAACAGAGAATAGGTATGCCGTACTTGAAGATAAGGTTGGCTAGCTGGAAGAGAATATACTGTGGATATTCCTTTAGGTTAAGAAGGGTTCAAGCCCTAGCTACTTTAATATATAAAGACAGTTTTGTATTAACAAGAAGTCATGAATGAAAGTATGAATCTTTGAGAATCCCTTTGTTCATCTCTAGTTAAAGCTTTAAGTGTTCTTGGTGATTTTACGTACACTAGTTAATCAAGTTGTCCGGTAACAACACTAAAAAGAAAGCAGAATACAACAAAGATCAAACAGCACTTTTAGGCGTCTGCTAAAACAGAGAATAAACTTTCGAAATAATAAACAGCACCAAGGCGTCTGGTAGGTTTGAAGAGTAAATCATAAGATTTGGCATGAAGATCATATATCACCAATGGTTGCATGTGTGCATGACTATGAAGTAATAACTTAGTCATGTCCAGAATGGCGATCGGTAAGAGGTGACATTCCCCGAACCAAGACACAGTATTTGTGAGATCTAGCGAACACATTTTCTTCCATGTCTTGCTGCCGCCTGAAGAATCTAATGACCATATCACTTGAGTGGACCGTTTTCTCCGTGATACGCAAATACCGGTGAACCCGTACTATAACTTTTTACTCATGAAACTATACGTTACTATTGAAGAAACGACTGCGTTTTGAGGCGATTATTTTGGCGATAACAGACGACGAGTTTCGAAGGATGGATCTGGCGATTCCGCCGGATTTGTCAGGATCGTTGGAGGTTGGTAAGGATAACAAGGAGGTTCTCGAAGGGATGATTACAAAGGATGATTCAGATTTGATCGGAGATTTGGTAAAGAAGGGTTCGAGCTGGGTTTCTGTTGCGGAGGATAAGAAGAAACTTAAGAAGTATGAGGTCGAAGTATTGAATAAAGAAGGTGTGCATACGGTTGAGATTCCAGAGAAGATCCTTGACAACGTTACTCCTCTGTGGGAAGATTTTGTTGTGGGTAAGTTTTTGGATCTTTCACCTCATGTTGCGAAGGTCCATATGGTGTTGAATAAAATTTAGAAATATGGGGATGTAACTACGAAGGTGGATGTGTATGTGGTGAATCCAACCACGATGAGATTCAGGATATCGAATCCAAAAGCTAGAGATAAGATCCTTCGGCGTGGTATGTGGAATATAGCTGGGGTTCCAATGTTGGTGGCGAAATGGTCTCCTAGTATAGAGGATGAAGAACAGGAAGATGATGCGATTCCCATGTGGGTTCACCTGGAGAAGGTTCCGCTCCATATGTATTCCTGGGAGGGTCTCAGCTTCATCACCAGTGCGGTAGGATTTCCAGTCAAGCTACATCCTGACACTATTGCTTGTACTAATCTCAAGGTAGCCAAAGTGTTTGTAAATGTTGATGTTTCGAAGGTGTTGCCTAAGGAAATCACATTTTCAAAAGGGGGAAAAAGCTTTACTGTGGATTTCTACTATCCTTGGCTTCCACCAAGGTGCAAGCTCTGTGATAAATGGGGTCATGGTGAAGAGTTGTGCAAAGGGAAGAGTAAACAGCAGGATGGTACCTCTCCTTCTCCGGTGATTAAGCAAGCTGAAGTGAGCCCTGCTAGGAGGTCGGGGGGAAGAGTAATAGTCAAGGTGAAAGTAGTGGAGGTGGTACGGTTATAGTTGTGCAAAAGGATGGTAATGAGTCTCCAACTACCAAAGATGTGGGTTCTGGTAGTCAAGATGATAAGAAGGAGAATGTATGGTCTCGTCCAGTCAAGTCTGGAAGATCTCCTGTTACTATTATGCAGGAATGTGGAGTGGAAATATCTAAGTCAAAATTTTCTGTGCTTAGTGTGGTTGAGGGGGAGGAAGGTGAGGTTCTAGAAGAGGTATCGAAAAGTTTAGTGTTTGAGGATAGTGGAATTAATGAAGAGGAGGAGGAGGATTTTTTAAAGGATGATTTAATGGATAATAATAGTTTGGATCAGCAAGTAGAAGAGGAAGTTAAAGCGGGGAAAAGAGGTCGTAGGGCTAAAGCTCCGGATGTGAATCCAGGGAAAAGCACTAGGCCTTCTCGTCGTAAACATTAACTATGACCAGTTTCTTCTGGAATGTGTGTGGGTTCAACAAAGGTGTTAAGCATTCCGTTGTAGAAGAATGGGTAAGGAGTAAAGATATGTTATTTGGCAGTATTTTAGAAACTAGAGTTAAAGAAAGGAAGGTGAGTAATATTCTTAACAAGGTGTTCAGGGATTGGTCTGCTATTATGAATTATGAGTATAGTGAAGGTGGTAGAATATGGATGGTGTGGAGGGATGTGATTTGTATGACTCCGGTCTATAAATCTGATCAACTGATAACTTGTTCACTTAGTATGAAGGGGCAAGAGGATTTTTTTTTTTATACTTGTGTTTATGCTAAGAATCTGCCAGAGGAAATGAAGGATTTATGGAATGATCTTTGTCACCATAAAAGTTCTTCTATGTTTCGTAATAAGGCGTGGATTGTTGTGGGGGATTTCAACGAAATACTGGATGTGGAGGAGAGTTCTTGTTTTGTTGATCGTAATTGTATCCCAAGAGGAATGAGAGATTTTCAAGAAACGATGCTGCATTGCAATCTCTCTGATTTTGGGTACCAAGGTCCCTTGTTCACTTGGTGCAATAAAAGGGAAGATGGTCTTATTTGTAAGAAGCTTGATAGGGTGTTAGTTAATGATGAAGCTTCTTTGAGATTTTCGAATGGCTATTCTGTGTTTGAAGCTGGTGGTTGCTCGGATCATATGCGGTGTAACATTCATTTGTTTCCAGTATCTGAGAAAGTTAGAAGGCCTTTCAAGTTTATTAATGCTCTTGGGAAACTGGAGGGCTTTCTCCCATTAGTGCAGAAATACTGGGATTCTACTCCAGCTCTTTTCCACTCCACCTCTGCCTTGTTCCGGTTCTCAAAAAATTGAAGTTTTTGAAACCGTTGTTAAGAGAGTTGGGTAGACAGAAGTTGGGTAACCTCTCGAAGAAAACAAAAGAAGCTTTTGATATTTTATGTGAGAAGCAGAAACATACACTATCTAACCCTAGTGATCAGTCCATTCATGAAGAGTCTGAGGCATATTCGAGATGGATTCATATTGCTGGTTTGGAGGAGGATTTTCTTAAACAAAGATCTAAACTGCATTGGTTAGAGGTGGGGGATCTGAACAATAAGACATTCCATAATGCTATACGGTCCAGACAAGCTCAGAATAGTATTTGTGAGATTAGGTGTAGCAATGGAATCACTGTTACGAAACAGACTGATATCAAAGAGGAAGCTGTGAAGTTCTTTTCGGAGTTTCTAAATCAGACCCCTGTGAACTATATTGGTACAACCACTTCTGAGCTCCAACAGTTACTTAACTTCAGATGCTCTATAGATTATTGTAAGATGCTTGAGGGAGAGGTTACTAAGAGGAGGTTCGTAGGACTCTCTTTGCAATGCCCTCAAACAAATCACCGGGCCCTGATGGGTTCCCGTGTGAGTTCTTCAAACTCTCGTGGCCAATTTTAGCTTCAGATTTTACAGTGGCTATCCAATCTGTTTTTCAGTATGGGTTTCTTCCTAAGGGAGTCAATGCGACTATCTTAGCCCTTGTTCCCAAGAAAATGGATTCCATGGTGATGAGAGATTTTAGACATATTGCCTGCTGCAATGTCTTATATAAGGTAGTGTCTAAGATTCTTGCTAACCGGCTTAAACTGCTTCTTCCTCGTATTGTTACAAAGAACCAGTCTGCGTTTATTAAGGGGAGGTTATTGTTGGAGAATGTCCTTTTAGCTTCCGAGTTAGTCAAGGATTATCACAAGGAGACTATCTCTGCAAGATGTCTGATGAAAATTGACATCTCCAAGGCATTCGACTCAGTACAGTGGGAGTTTGTTTTACAGTGTCTGGAAGCGTTGGGAGTTCCTGCCAAATTTACCCACTGGATTAAACTGTGCATATCTACTCCATCTTTTTCTGTACAAGTAAACGGTGAGCTTGGGGAATTTTTTCAAAGTAAGAGAGGACTGAGGCAGGGATGCTCATTGTCTCCTTATCTGTCCGTACTTTGCATGAATGTGTTATCTCACAGGATTAATAAGGCTGTGGAGGAGAGGAAGTTTAATTTTCATCCCAGGTGTCAGTCCCTTGCTCTTACTCATCTCTGCTTTGCAGACGATTTAATGGTGTTTGTGGAAGGGACAAAGGAATCTATTGGAGGTGCTTTAAGTGTTTTTGATGATTTTGCTCAATGGTCGGGGCTAAGTATCAGCATTGAGAAATAGACGGTGTATATGGCTGGGGTTTCAGGAGATGATAGAAGTAATATCTTGAAGGATTTTCCTTTTGCTGAAGGCACTCTACCGGTGCGATACTTGGGGTTACCGTTGATGACTCAAGTTATGAGAAGTCAGGATT